CAAATTCGCAGTCATCATTTGCTGGTTCAAGTCAACAACCCTTCACAATGACTAGGTCCAATGACGATACGGTACCCAAGGAACTATGGCGACACTCGAGTCCTTGCAGTACCCAAATCTACGACTTCATCCAATCCGCCAATGCCAAGCATGGCCTGTCCATGTCCACTTACGACGATCTCTGGCAGTGGAGTGTCTCTGAGCCCGCCAAGTTCTGGGAGGATGTATGGAAATATACTTCTATCAAGGCCCATAAGTCATATGACCGTGTGAGTATACTAATACGCTCTTTCGAAGCGCAACACAAAGGCTGCTGTTAGTGCTTGTCTCCTTTGATATATGATGGCTAATTTTCCTTATAGGTCCTGAGCACGGACGAACTACTTTTTCCTCGTCCCAACTTTTTCGAGGGGAGTAGGCTTAACTTTGCTGAGAACCTCCTGTATCCGTCTTCGTCTCCTGATGAGAACGCGGTTGCGATAATCGCTGCCACGGAAGCGGATCGGGAATTTGTGACCTGGAAGGAGCTGCGCGACCGCGTACGCAGATGTGCCAACTCGCTGAAACAATCGGGTCTGCAGGAAGGAGACCGTGTGGCAGGGTTTCTTGGTAATCATACCAACACTGTTGTGGCGATGCTGGCAACGGCATCGATTGGCGCCTTCTGGACAGGCGTCTCACCTGATACTGGCGTACATGCGGTGCTAGAACGCCTCAAGCAAATAGAACCGAAGATCTTGTTCGCCGACAATGCATCTCTATATAACGGGAAGGTGCACGGGACCGATGCTAAGTTGCGTGAACTCGTGCCGGGGCTGCCGAACCTGGAGTTTCTCGTCATATTCGAGACAATCCAGTCCTACAAATTGGACCCTCAATTCTTGATACCACTACGTGGAAAGGTTCTTACCTACAAATCATTCCTTTCTACGGCCAGCAACCCTTCTGCCCCTCTGGAATTTGCAAGTCTGGGACCCGAACACCCTGTCTACATCTTGTATTCTTCGGGAACTACAGGGGCACCAAAGCCAATTGTTCATGGTGCACTGGGAACGCTGCTGCAGCATAAAAAGGAACATGTGCTTCACTGTGATCTTCGTCCCGGAGATCGCTTGTTCTATTTCACGACGACTACTTGGATGATGTGGCATTGGCTTGTTTCCGGTCTTGCCAGTGGCGCTACCATTGTGCTCTATGATGGCTCCCCTTTTCGGCCATTTGACCCGGAAGGTGGGAAGGGTGAAATGGCAATGCCACGCCTGATTGACGAACTGCAAATCACGCACTTCGGAACTTCTGCCAAATACCTATCCATGTTAGAGCAGGCTTCCCTACATCCAACCAGTCACCCTCACCGTCCAGTAAGCTTGAAAACACTGAAAGCTATTTTTAGTACGGGTTCTCCATTGGCGCCGTCTACATTCGAGTACGTTTACTCGTCTATCAAGGCGGATCTCATGTTGGGTTCGATCACCGGCGGGACCGATATCTTGTCGCTATTTTGCGGCAGTTGTCCCATCCTACCTGTCTACAAGGGAGAGATCCAGTGCCGCTGCTTGGGGATGGCTGTTTCTGTCTACGATTACGCTGGCAATGACGTTTCTACTTCCGGTGAGGCCGGCGATCTGGTGTGTACGAAGCCATTTCCTGCGCAGCCTGTCATGTTCTGGCCTCCCGGTCCGACAGGAGCGGAAAAATACCGCAAGAGTTACTTTGACGTCTTCGGGCCGACAATCTGGCACCATGGTGATTTCGTGCGTCTGGAGCCCCACACTGGAGGTGTAGTGATGCTGGGTCGCAGTGACGGAGTTCTCAAGCCAGCCGGTGTTCGGTTCGGTAGCGCAGAGATATATAATGTTCTTCTGAAACATTTCGCAGATGAAGTGGAAGATTCTCTGTGTATCGGGCGTCGGCGGGATGGAATTGACACCGATGAAACAGTCGTCCTTTTCGTGAAGCTGGCATCGTCTGGTGACTCTCCAACAACCATGCCGCCTGACCTCGCAACTCGCATCCAAGCGACCATTCGCAAAGAGCTCAGCCCTCGGCATGTCCCTGGAATTGTGGACGTCTGCCCCGAAATTCCGGTGACATCCAACGGCAAGAAAGTTGAAAGCGCTGTGAAGCAGATCCTGTGCGGTCTCAACATCAAAATTGGTGCCAGTGTGGCCAATGCCTCGTGCCTTGACTGGTATCGCACTTGGGCTGCGGCGCACCCATAGTGTCGTAGTAAGGTCTCCCTCAATAGATGGTCTGGGAAAAGCTTAGAGTGAAGCCATATGCCATGTTAAGATTGTTTGTTCACGGCCTATAGAACTAGATAATGAATGATTTCTTCTTCCAGTGGCGAGGGTCAATGGTGTCTCTGCTTTGTCCGCATTACTCAATTAGCGATTCTAGATCTTCCATTACTAACCAGGTGCAAGTAGGAAATCACAGTTTTACCGATGACTCAGGCTCTGTAGGAACCTAATACAAAGAGAATGGGGGCGGGTAATTACAAGACAAACAATCCCAATTGGAAAGCAATTCGTCAATCCCAAGACATCATATCCTGCTTGTTCAACCAGACAAGTCTGACGTCGTGCGCCGTGCCTGTGGTGATTAGATAAGCGATCTGAGTCCAAATCCTTGCGGGCGCCGGCGTGACGACGACATCTCCGGAAACGCCGCAGCTTTCACGCCGTCCGGGAAAGGGAGCAATTTTGAATTGAGTACTCTCGGCCCATATCATCCATTCATATCTGTCAATATGCGCCGTTCTGTACTACGGGCCGTTGAGTCCGCAAAGCCTCTTGCCCGCGTGCCTCGTTCCGCGTCTAGAGGCTTTGCTACTGTTAATGAGAATGGTTCCAAGGTAAGTTCTTCCAATGCAGGGAATCTCACTTGATGGTTCTGGTCGGACTTGGGATTAATTCTAACTACTTTGTCCTTCGCTGTGTAGGACCCTGCCGAGCTTGATCAGATCACTACTTTGCCCAACGGTATCCGCGTCGCTACGGAATCCCTGCCTGGGCCCTTCTCTGGTGTCGGAGTTTACGTCGATGCCGGATCTCGCTATGAAGATGAAAGTCTGCGGGGTGTGAGCCACATCATGGATCGTTTGGCTTTCAAGTCGACCAAGTCGTACACCAGTGATCAAATGCTTGAGGTTTTGGAGAGCCTTGGAGGAAATATCCAGTGCGCTTCTTCTCGTGAATCCTTGATGTACCAGTCCGCTAGTTTCAACTCCGCTGTCCCGACGACTCTGGGACTGTTGGCCGAGACTATCCGGGATCCTCTGATCACAGAAGAAGAAGTGCTTCAGCAGTTGGCTACAGCTGAGTATGAGATTGGAGAGATCTGGTCCAAGCCTGAGCTCATCTTGCCCGAGCTGGTACATACCGCGGCCTACAAGGACAACACATTGGGAAACCCTCTGCTTTGCCCGCACGAGAGGCTGGGCGAGATCAACAAAGCGGTGGTTGATAAATACCGTGAAACCTTTTTCAACCCAGAGCGCATGGTTGTCGCTTTTGCTGGTGTGCCGCACGCCGAGGCCGTCAAGCTTACAGAGCAGTACTTCGGTGATATGAAGACACACAAGAAGACAGACGGCCCTGTTCTCTCGGGCACGGGCATCGAGACTACTTTGTCTGAATCCCAGTCCGCCGCTGAGGAGGGCCAGGTGCCCACCATTCCCCAGTTCACTCCGTCGTCCACCACAACTACCACCGCAGCCTCCCCCAAGTCGGGATTTCTTTCCAAGCTTCCCTTTTTGAAGAACCTCTCCAACTCCGGCTCGCAGAGTTCCGCCACGTCGCCGCTTGACCCATCATTGGTGCAGTCGTCGACGTTAGATCTCAACCGTCCTTCCCACTACACCGGTGGTTTCCTCTCTCTTCCTCCCATCCCTCCCCCTGCAAACCCTATGCTGCCTCGGCTGAGCCATATCCACCTTGCCTTCGAGGCCCTTCCGATCTCGAACCCTGATATCTATGCCCTGGCAACCCTCCAAACACTCCTTGGAGGTGGCGGTTCCTTCTCTGCCGGTGGTCCCGGTAAGGGAATGTACTCGCGTCTCTACACCAACGTGTTGAACCAGCACGGATGGGTCGAAAGCTGCATCGCGTTCAACCACAGTTACACAGATAGCGGAATCTTCGGTATCTCCGCATCTTGCAGCCCGACACGTACCACCGAGATGTTGGAGGTCATGTGCCGCGAGTTCCAGGCTCTCACTCTCGACACGGGCTACCAAGCCCTGCAGCCGCAGGAGGTTAACCGTGCGAAGAACCAGCTTCGCTCTTCGCTCCTCATGAACCTAGAGTCGCGTATGGTGGAATTGGAGGATCTCGGACGTCAGGTCCAGGTGCACGGCCGCAAGGTTGGTGTCAAGGAAATGTGCGCGCACATTGAGTCTCTGACTGTGGAGGACCTGCGCCGGGTTGCTCGGGAAGTCTTCGGTGGTCTTGTTGAGAACAAGGGCCGTGGCACTGGCAGGCCCACCGTTGTTTTGCAGGAAGGCGAGTTGGAGGGTTACAGGCTCCGCCCTTTCCCCTGGGAGGAGATCCAAGAACGGATTGCCCGGTGGAAGCTGGGAAGGAGGTAATTTGCGATGCAGTTGAAGCCCCGACATCGCAGCGACTACCTGTGCTGTTCACGGGGTATAGAGAGATGTAGCACTTCCATTTTCTTCACTCCATGTAATTAGAGATAGCCATATACAATCATGTACAATACATATTGCCCAAACATCCCCTTTTCCCTGGAACAATTGAACGTATAAATTTGGGGCGTCGCGTGGATGCATCGGCTGCAGTAGAAGCTCCTTACCGTATTGAGTTCGTTTCCGCCCGGGAAAAAAGTTGGATCCGGAAGGTCGAACCCGCCGTCCTCCATCAATCTCCGTCCGTCCTCAACACTTTCATTCCATCACCTCAACCCTCGCCCGTACTTCCTGCGACCCATTATATTATCAATACACCCTTTTAATCCCCTTTTCTACAACCACCGTCACAATGGTCAAGCTTACCGAAGTCGAGGATGAGCACTTCTCCCAGGAGAAGCCCATGCCCAGCAAGCACAATGTCCTTCTGACCTCGGACGATGAAGAGGAAGACGACTACACTGACACCGGTTAGTATCCTGATAACCCATAACTCAAGGCACAAATCAACCGGGCGCTTGTTTTGCGTGAACAATTGCACTTTTACCTTCACCTTCATCCACCGCGCAACAACATCCGGAAGCATTATCCATCCACGCCGAATCTGATCCATTTATCCATTCGTCCATCGGCGCAGCCGTTCAAAACACATGGCCTTCCTTTTCTAACATGCCATACGTACAGAATCCGAAATCTCCGTCGAGTCCGACCTCGAGGTCGATGGTGAGACCTTCTACGACCGTCTCTACGCCCTGAAAGACATGATTCCTCCTTCCACACGCCGCTCGGTCACCAGCACTGTCAACTCCGTCACCTCTTTCACAAAGTCCAGCATCCAGTTCAGCGGTAAGGCGCTGTGGATCATCAGCACCAGTGCCTTCCTCCTCGGTGTCCCGTGGGCTCTGGCCTACGCCGAAGAGGAGCAGTACATCCAGATGGAGCGCGAGCAGGGCATGATCAAGGGCGCCAACGAGGTACGTTAAAGCCATCTCTTTTTCCAATTTCATTTTCGATGGGCTATCTACTTGTCGCTTGGCTATCATTATTGTTGTTATTGCCAAGTCGCCTTATCCCGAGGCAGTTGGCGATGACGTGAAAACTCTTTTCCGTTCTTATTACGTGCCAAGAACGGAGATACAGACGTCATTTGGATCCCCCGTCCATTTTTCGATTTCTTGAGAAATATCCAAACAGCAGCTAATTACATTGTTCTCTATTATCAGATGCTTACGCCCGGTGCCCCCGGTGAAGAGAAGCCCGCTCAACCCTCTTTGTAAATGAATACCGCAGCCAAAGATGAAGATAGCAACAGGTGGGAATAGTTGATTTGCCATGGCCTGTCGAACTGCCACTACCTCAATATCGAGCCTGTCCGAAGCCACCTGTTGTCGTTAGGCCTTTGGTTTTTCACTAATTTCGTCGGTCTTCCTGGAGCGCGACGTCAACGTTCAGGCGATGACGTTTATCGATTTCGGTGAATCTTTCTTTTCCAGCAAAAAAAGAAAACGAGCCAGGCAACTTGATTTAGCGATGCATGATCCGGATTACATTGGGTTAAAAGCAGGTGTGTACTATTGAGGATACGGAAGAATCGCGAAACAATCAACTCATTGATTTGAGTTGGCGCGAGGAAGATATAAAAGGGATGGTATGGTTTCCATATGGACATGAAGCAAAATCTTGCCCACCTGTTACTGTTCGGAATCTCTGGCCCTATTAACTTGACGCTTTTTCTCCTCTCTCAACCTTTGATTCCAGAACTTCTGGCTTGGGCGATGTGTGTATTTCTATACTGGTTTATTTTCCCCCTGGTTACAATGTTCGTTTCGTTTTATGTCTATTTCCACCATTTTTGGAAGTCATGTTTCTAGATAATGAAATGTGAATGATCTTGAAATATCATATTCAAGAAGAAAGCTATATGAGCCGCGTACATTTTGTCACTTCGCTAGGAGAAGACCGAAGATGAAAAACAGAAATAGGGTATCAAGCATAAAGATTAAATGTACAAGCCCCTGAAACGAGACGACAACAAGATGAATATGAACAGAAGAATTGTGTAAAGGCGCGCATTCGAAGAAAGTGGCGATCCTGACCAGGGAAAGAACTAACCCGCCTCAGACCGAGTACAGAACACCGTCCAGATAAACCACCCATAAATGGATCAAATATGTGCAATCGAAAGCATCTCATCAACAGCGAAGCAGAGGCAGCTTGCATAACTCACTACCCAAGAGTCTATGTAGTAAATGACATGGTCAGCAAATGCTCTCGGCTGCCACGTTGATCTTGACTGATGATGATGATGATGATGATGATGATGATGATGATGATGATGATGATGATGATGATGATGATGGAATATCAAAAACATACCGTAGTTTCTCTCGCAGTGCGTAAATTAATGTGAAAGTCACGCCACAGTTTCTTGACCTCACCATTCGCTATCATTGATTCCACTGCTTTCACGGCGTACTTGGTTTTCTTCTTCGTGGTCCAGTGGCTGCGCTCTACAACTCTCGTCTCGGATAGATATCCCTGATGTTCGAGGTAGCCGATTACCCATTCGTTGAGGTGGAAGCGCCAGTGGGTTAGGGTGTGGGCTAGTGTTGCTTTGTTTTTGCAGTGGCTGGTGGTGGGGAGATGGTGTTAGTATGTATGGGATGGGTTTTCTGGAATTCGGTGAAGTAGAAGAGGGGGGGGGGGGGGGGGGAATGCTTACCGGCCGAGGAAGAAGCGGGTGTTTTCGTCTGGTAGGATGTGGCCGTCTCGATCTCTTTCTTCGTGGTCATCGTCTTCGTGTTCCTCCTCGTCATCGTCGTCGTCGCTGTCTTCGTCGGTAAGCGGTTCGAGTGTTTTCAGTGAATAGGCTTTCCCGTATAATTTGATGTCGAATGAGGCTGGATGACCTGAGCGGTTGCAGGCATCGCATGGGTGATTCTCTATTGTTGGAAATGTAGTAATCTCAATCTGAGGTCGAGCTAATAATGCTCTCCGGAATTTGGCGTTCCAAACAGATGAGACGAGCTGTGATCCGGTGCGGCCCTTGACTTCGTCTTCGAGTTTGCTGAAGGCGACTTCGTAGACCGGATCGGAGCGAGGGAATGCCGGGTTGAGTTGATTATGCACCATCCACTCTACTGCGTCTTGGAAGTAGTCCTTGAGTTGCTTGTAGGCATGTCGCGAGAATTCGATGGGAATATCCTCTAATCCCGTAGGTGCCCCTAGAGTATCATCATCGTCTTCTAGCACAAAGTCGTCTTCATAGCGGTCTAGATCATCGTTGCTTGCGATCGCGGATTCAACGTCACTTTCTTCTTGTCGAGTACGGAACTGAGGCTTCCGTTTAGGGCTCCCTTCATGGGCTTCGGGTTCGTTCTCTTGTTCACTTCCGTTGTCACCGTCACCATCGTGGCTATCGCCATCGCCCGACTGCTCAAGATCACTCTTAGATTCCTCGGTATCAGACGCTGTCTTTCCTGCCCTCCGACGACGTAAAGCTTCCAGGTGTTGTTGTCTTTGGGCCCGTGCTGAGTTGGCAAGTCGACCTCGAGTGCGCGTATCTTTTACCACTATAGACAGACCTGTCAGTGCGACAAGAACTGAAGACGGTCTAGTTTGTGGGTTACATGGGCTTACCTGAGTCCTGCAGCGCCTGAAGATCTTCTTCTATGTCTAATTCGTCCTGTTCAAGCCCGCGACGCGGCGTCTGGGGGACGTCGGGGCTTGCGTTGCGCGTCCTGCGCTTTCTGGGAGAGATGATCAATTCTTCTTCCGAGTCACTATCATCGGACGCGATAGCAGGCTGGGGGGCCACACCACGTCTCAGCTTTCGGCGAGACGCAGGAACAACCTCATCTACATCGCTTTCCGAATCGGCAGCGGGTTTCTGCGGGGTCGCGGAGGGAGATTCGGAACTGGATACGTCTGTCCTCTTGCGCTTGAGAGATCCTCTTTGTGGGTTTTTGCGTGTGCTGCGCACGATCTCTATATCGCTATCACTGTCGCTAAATGGTTCTGCTTTGGGTTCGGGGGTACGTTGGGGCGGAGGTTTGGCTATCGGCATCCCACAAGTCAGTACCTATTATCGTGCAGTGGTTATGATAAAATCTCACCGACATGCTGAGAGCGACCTCCCCGGAATACTGGCATGGAAGGATGCGCATAGCGCAAGTTTGCGCGACGATCATCCTCCTTGTCGGAGTCCTCTTTCTTCGTCGGCGGGGAGCTCAACGGAGCGAAAGCCAGCCGCGTCTGCTTTTTCTTGCCGTATGTGCGGGGCATCGGGGGTGGCGCAGGGATCGGCTATTTATGGTAGTGAGAATTGCTGAGTATAGTCCGAGTAGACGGTGGACGTTTCGCGCTGAATGTAGAAATAGTGACCAAGTCAAAGGACTGAATAGAGCCTGTCATAGGATCTGATGTCTTCACTGAGCGCGCAAGAGTCGCGTCTCGGTGTCACGAGAGCACGTGATAGCTAATAGCTACCCAAAATGGTCAGTCACAGTTGTTGGTATACTCTATCTCTTATTGCAGACGCTGTTCATCCATTTCGTATTCAAGTTACTTTGCGCTTCTCCTAAATGTCACTTTTGAGAAGACGCCAGAATTCCTTCAACTAGTTTTCAACTAGTCTTCAATGAGCTTTTGGACAGGCTTTGAACTTGATTGAAGAAGTCAAGGAAATTGCTTGGTTTCTCATTACTGGAAGTCTATTTTGCTCTCATTAAATCCATGTGGTTTGCCAACGCTAGGGTGAGCCTTCTACTGAGGTGTAGGCGAATAATGCATGGTCTAGAATAAGCCAAGGCAATGTGAAGCTGTCAGGCTTCTCTCTCCCCTATGTGGGACATGATAGAGTCATGTTATTTCTCTGGCATGGGTTGCAGTTTCCTGAATAGAATTAATGGCATACCCAGAATGTGACTCCTTGACTTACTGCATCACGAGCACCACTCAAGGAAGCTCCATATATAGTAGTCTCATCACATTGACTGACTCAAACTTCTTCCACAGCATTTTAGCGGGCAATTTCTTGCATAAATCTGCATCAATCACTCACTCTATTCCTTTCTCATGTATTGTCAGCAGCACCTTTTTGCACTTTTCTATGCAGTATTGGGAGCTATCTCCAATATTACCCAAGATGCATACCGAGCAGTAGGTGATGACCACCAAGTTTCATGTTCGGACCCCTTGTTTGGTGCTTCGAGGTTTATCGCAATATCCCCAACCAAGGGTCAAGAGGGACCGGGATGTGCAGTATCCTTGACGTGTCCTGGGATTTGGGAGACCATGAAAAGGGGCGACAGACAAGACCGGAATACAGTTGGCTATTCACATCCTCCAAATGCAGCTGAACCGACTTTCAAGCTCACCTTGGCGATAACGAATGTTGGGGACCGACCAACGAGTATACGTCACTGCGAAACTGTCCTAGAGCAGCTCGTTCTCGAAAGTCGTGACGATAACCTGCAACATCCGTTCGGCCCTGTCCAATCGGTGATTCCCCTTCAGCATAAAGCTGCCTCTCAGGAGCACAGAACGAGGAGATGGCCACGTCAAGAGATGCCACCGAATAAGACTGACACGAGTAGAGTCAAGGAGGCACCTCCATCAAACCCTCTGACGCAAGGCTACCATGGAATCCTGAAATATATAATCTCAAAAATGGAGAATGGTAAGAGCCGCCGCAAGAGGAGGGATGTTGCATCGGATATCTCTCCTGACATTGGCGTGAGCCAATACTATGTTCAGAGGGACCTATACAGCCTTGGTGGACCGACTTGCGAGGACACCATATGTGAGGGAAGCGATTGGAGGACGATATGCATTTCGGATCAAATCCCAGACAATAAGAGGGATCAATGCATCATGTGCTATCCCCGAAAGCATATGGCGCTTGTACATGGCTATTGTCAAGAACAGAAGTATAGGGAGCTGGACATATTCTACAAGACATGCGCTCTGCTGGGTGCATCGATCCTCGCAGCTACGCTCTTATACTTGCTGCGTGAAATCTATAAGAGGCTTCGGATGCGATACCAGTATCTCCAGGACATTTGTCACCGCAGTCAGCTCTCAGAAAGTACTACTACAAAGACAGGATTTCCGTCTATGCATCCTATTGGCGCATTGGCGTCTTTGTTCCCTGGAGTTCCTAAAGCTTGGAATGACCCACAACGTCTATACAATGGCGCCGTCGACGGGGCCAATACCCCTACAGGCAATGATACGGTGATCCGGCAAAAGTTCCGGCGGTTTGGGCCCTTCATGA